CATTTCTTCTTTCAATCCTTTTTTGATTTTGGTTAAAACCTCAATTTCGGGTTACTGCTCATTATAATGCAAAAGTTAAGACAGCATCTGTAAGCTCATTTCAAACAGCTGTAACAGAACAATATTACAGCTGATCTCATTAATCGATGCATTACAACAAAACAGAAAAATTCTGTAACAAAAAGAGGAAATTATGTGGAAAAAGGGAAGAAAGAAAATAGCGATCAGAAGGAATATGTGAGGGTGGAAATACGCACATCTGCAAGGATGCTGCCGAGTGGAAATAAACTATGCTGTAAGGCTTCTGTATCAAGGGTTCAAACTCCTGAAGAAGACAAAAGACATAAGTATGGAATCCAAAAAAACCAAATAATAAAATCAATAATCAAATTTTACAACTGAAACTGCGATAACTTATTCACCTTCACGACGTACAGAATAAACCGCTCTAGATCAAGACATCTGAGGAGAAAATGTGCTCCAACAACCACCATTACTGGACGACCTTCACTATCAACCCCACCTCGGTATCTGAAATAGAAAAGTAGTAGTTACAAGTTAAGTTACAAAAATTCTCTAAGATAAGCAGGACATAAATAAAGTACATATAATGATTCTTGAGTAATGCTCCATATCAAGAATTTCTATTTGTTAATCCTATTACATGAGATTACCATTGTACATAGGATCATTAGATGGCTTGAACATAGATATTTCAGAATCACTAGAAGTTCACAGTGCTTACACGATTTTCATTTCAGCAATGTCAGAAAGATTAAGGGAATTTGCTTTAGCAAGATATCTAGAATGGATAGAATATTCTTCAGCAGCAGATAAAGGAGGACCCCCAAGGTCTCCATATCCAAGAATCTTAGCAAAATTCCAACTTTTTCGAGCTTGGGCAGCCTTTTCCCATTGTTCTTGGCGTCTTTGATCTGGATCCTTGATCAAGGACATAAAAGAAGGATCCAGATACGAATCCAAGTACGACGAGTCCCTGTTTAAAAGGAGAACATGCCTATACCATAAGATTGTTTAAAAGAGGCACAGAAAGAAGAAAGAAAAAGAAAAGCATACACTTTTGAGGGAGGAAATAGTCCTCAAATCATGATAGTGACAAACTCATTAAAGAGAATCAAGCTAAATGAGTGGATCTCATTATCATTTCATATTTAGAAGTCAGAGTAGAAGACAAGAAAGAATCTCCACCTAAACCCAGTGTTTCATTACTGGAATATCGTTGTAGTTTGTAAGGCACTGCATGGAGGTCAAAGCTACATGCGGACAGTCTTACAAAAATAAAAGTAAAAATTCGAATGAGATGAGAAATTCTAGTACATGAAACACACAACAAACACAGAGTGAAATCAAGCATCTTTCAGGTTGCATGAGCTTATTAATGGGATATATAGAAAAGAATAAAAAGGCATCTGAGACACTAACTTTCTTGCCAACCCAATATCTGCGACTTGAAGATCTGAAGAGGATTGAGGAGATTTCGGAATAGTCTTCTTCAAATTGGGTAATGGCTTTATTCTGATTTTGCGTTCATTTATAACCGTTTCACCATTTTCATCTCCAACATCAGCAGGAAGTTTCGAAATAGCAATCTCTTCCTCGAGTTTATCACGTGGAAAGTAAAGCGGTAGCAATCTGAATTGATAATTAATAGCTAGTGATGTCAAATCAAAAGCCGAACAATTAAGCATTACAAGTTCCATAGATCTGATTAACTGGTAGTTTCAGTCAACAAACCTTTTATATATCTCGGTATCAGATGTAGTTGTAATACAAAATACAACTGCATCCACTTTATCTTTTTGTTTCTCGAGAAATCGTCTCACAGTCCCTAACCAGAGAAAATAAATTGGATATCAAGGCAAGCAACACAGGACAGGCTAGGTATTGCAAAAGCAAGATTAGATGAAGCGATTCGTGAACTAATAAAGAGAAGCAGAACATCATTAATAGATTAGAAATCATAAGTAATTTGCTTACTTATGGCCACATGTGCAGCAGGTTCTCGTGGGTAATTTTTAGCTTCTGTATATATACAGCTCGTAGCAATGCTGCATTCACATTGCGAAAGATTTC